CCAGTCCCATTGTGAAAACCAGGTCCAAGGTGTGGCCCTTCTCATGTGTCGGGCTGATGACACATTGAGACAGCCCCATGGTTGTCATGGCGGCCATGGTCCTGAGCCGCCCCAGTCAAGGCAGCCTCGGCATGAATGTTGAGGTCCTCCAGCACCAACAACCTGGGAGTCCTCAACACCAGGTCCGAGACTACCTCCATCAGCTCAGGTAGGGCGACTGTTGGTATGCAGCAGGGTGGGTGGTACACCAACAGAATCCCTAATCTGTCTCGCAAGCCCAACACACAATACAGGCCCTCAAGACCTCCTCTCAAAGGGATAGAAAGCCTGGTCAAGAAGATAGAACTCCTATAGATTATAGCAACTCCCCCTCCCCGACCCTCCGAGCGACACTGGTGCTGGACCGAGTACCCAGGTGGATACAGCTGGGAGAGGGGAACACCACCCTCCTCTCCCACCCAGGTCTCAGTAATGCATGCCAGGTCAGCACCCTCATCCAGAATTACATCATGGATGAAAGCAGTCTTATTTTGTACTGACCTGGCATTCATCAACAACACCGTGTGGCTCGAGGGTTTGCTGATATGGTCACCTGATACCATCTGGTTGGGAGTAGGACTAGAAGAGGGGATAGATGTAAGATATCTAACCTCGCTTCTCCTATGTGGGCATGTTCTACCCCCACCGCCATTCCTTCCCCCACCCAGCACCACCTCAATGGCTGCCCCCTCCAATGCCCTCCCCCCTTTCCTGTTCCATCAGGTCCACTGTGGGTCACTATGCAATCCAATGGCAAATAATAGTGCCTGGGGACGGCAGGTATCACAGGCGACTCCCCCGACAGCAGGAACGCTGGTCTAGCAGGGCCCTGGCACAAGCTTCTGGCTTTTACAGCCTCCCTCCCCTCCCAGCCTGGTGGCTGGTGTTAAAAAAGGGGTGGGGTAGCCCGAAGCAGCAGCAGGGGCCCAGTCCTGCAGGCCAAGGGAGTCCAGGCCAGAAATTCCCCCACACACAAATAAAATAATAGTGCCTGGGGACGGCAGGTATCACAGGCGACTCCCCCGACAGCAGGAACGCTGGTCTAGCAGGGCCCTGGCACAAGCTTCTGGCTTTTACAGCCTCCCTCCCAGCCTGGTGGTTTCCTGTTCCATCAGGTCCACTGTGGGTCACTATGCAATCCAATGGCAAATAATAGTGCCTGGGGACGGCAGGTATCACAGGCGACTCCCCCGACAGCAGGAACGCTGGTCTAGCAGGGCCTTGGCACAAGCTTCTGGCTTTTACAGCCTCCCTCCCCTCCCAGCCTGGTGGCTGGTGTTAAAAAAGGGGTGGGGTAGCCCGAAGCAGCAGCAGGGGCCCAGTCCTGCAGGCCAAGGGAGTCCAGGCCAGAAATTTCCCCAGACATATACTACATAACAAAAATGCAATTACTCTAAGGGTTATCTGAAGGTGCCTGATCCTCCATAGACTCTCCAGCCAGCCAGCTATATAGTGATTGCAAATATTGCACTACAGTGGGAATTGTCTTGGACAAGTAAATGGAACATGACTGAGGTAAAATTGGTAGCAAAACATTGTGTATTTTTTGTCCATAAACAAAATCTGCAGAGCTAAATAACTGCCCATGCCTATTCTTAATCTTTCAGATGATATGCCAGAGCATGAAATTTTGTCAAATACACTCACACAATAATTTCAGTAGTGCCTATATTAACCAATACTTGTTAAGTACCGTATTTTTTGCTCCATAAGGCGCACCTGACCATAAGACACATGTAATTTTAGAGGGAGGAAAACAGGAGAAAAAAACTTCTGTCACGCCTGGCTGTCTGGGTGGCACTGCAGCATCTCCCCTGTGGCCCAGGTGGTGGCCGGTGCCATAGCCCAAGTAGTAATTGTGGGCTCCCCGCTCTCATTTATCGTTACCTGGTTCCCCCCACACACCTTTACTTTTGGGGGAGTGCAGAAGACACACCTCAGGCAGTCCCTGACAGGCGTCCTGAGAGATAGAAGAGAGAGAGAGGAGGAAGGTGGGAAGGGGAGAGGAAAGAAGGGGGAAGTGTGAAGAGAAGGAGCCCCCCCCCGTGTGTGCGAAGGAAGGGCTGGCAGAGCGAAAAGCAAGGCGAAGCCTAGAAGAAAGCTGAGACGAACAAGCAGAAGAGAGTAAAGTTACGGAGGGGAGGAGGAGAAGAAGGACCTTGTTGCACTACCCCATTTCGAGTCTCACCTCACATCGCATTCCGCTGGTGATGGTGGCGGCAGCATGGGGCTACAGCAGGCGCCCCTCTGACGTTCAGGTCCCAGCCTAGTGAGGGGGATGCTGAGAGACGAAAGAGACCCGGAGCAGGGGGGGGGTCGATGGAAGAGGAGGAGTACGGCGGCATGGGCTCTGGGAGTCTGCACCATTTTTACAGTATTTGCTCCATAAGACGCAAATACTCTCCCCCTCCTTTTTTGGATGGGAGTGCGTCTTATGGAGCAAAAAATACGGTATATACTTTTAAGAATTACTAGTATTAAATATAAAACACTTATCAAAGGTATCCTGATATCAAGGTAGTGAGAAACAATAAGATTTTTTCACATAGACTTCTATCACCAATATTTAGCAAACACCATCTCCTCAGTTATCTAATCCTAAATCATAAACTATTATAATATAGGAAAGAGGAGACTTGTATGGAACTAACTACTTGTGTTTAGATCACATATATTTCTTCTTTTATGTTTCTTATTGGGGTAATTTGGTTTTTAACTGAAGCACATCAGCCCAAATCCTGTATTGCAGCTATTTAGTGGAAGGGCAAAGACATAACTTGCTGTGAAAATTCCTACAAACTAATGTGTCCTTGGATCCCTCATTGTGTGCTAGCTGGATGGCTCAGCATATAACCAGGAATCCAAACATAGTTCATATCAGTTTGCTGGATAGTTCATATCAGTTTGCTGTTGCAAGTTCCATCACTGGCCTTCTGCCAGTATAACTACATAATAGGATTTTGGTTAGTGATGAATGTTTCACACCACACTGTAGTTTACACTTGCAAGTACCAGAGACCTTCTTCAAACATGCAAAGCAGTATATCTAAGAATACTGCATTCTGACCAGCGCATCTAAGCTTGTTTTTGCATCTTACCTTTACATATACATTTCCAACCAGATGATCTCCAAGATTATCACAAACATTCATCTCCTCTACTTCACCATATTTTTCTTCCATTTCTGTAAAGACTTCCTGAATGAGAAAAATCCAGTGTTAATCTGATCTAAGCTACATACATTAGCAAGTCTCAATACAGTATTGCTAACTCAGTCCCATTTTTCTGATCTAATTTCTTGGCTACATCTGTCTTGACAATGACTTTGTTAATTCAAATTGAAACTATACTTTTAAAATGAAATGATTAAATGACTTTTTTCATGTAAATTAACTTAATATGGATCTAACCCACTACATTTTTCATAATCTATTGTTTGTTCTTGGGAACGATGATTAAGATAAGAATAGTGGGGCAAACAAGACTACTCAACAGTGAGTCTTTGTAGAGAAAGTTTTGTTAAATAAAACCTCGTAGAACAAAGAATAAATATTTGAAAGGAGCCAGGAGCAACAATCACTGCACTAAGAGATACCAGGCAACACTCACCTGGCTGGTTGGCAGATTAATAGTCTAAAAGCACTGGGGTAATTAAAATAATAAAATGATTTTAAAAAGAGAAGGAAAAAAAATTAAAACTGTAAATTAAGTAAAATAAATCATACCGACCGGCTGTATAAGACAACCCCCCCAACAGGAGGAGGAAGAGGGGAAACGAGGGGGGGTTGGCGGACGAGCGAGCGTGCGGCTGGCTCAGCGGCGCGGGGCAGTGGGCAGCCCGTCGGCAGCTCAGAAACGGCAGCGAGAGGGCCAGGAAGAGCAAGAGGCTGAGGAGGAGGAGGAAAAGGGAAATGGGCAGGTGGCGGGCGAGCGAGCGTGCTGGCTCAGCAGCGAGTGGGGGGCGAGCGAGCGGCCTGGCTCAGCAGCAAGAGGGAGAGGAAGAAGGCAAGAGGCTAAGGAGGAGGAAGAGGGGAAACGGGGGGTGGCGGGCGAGCGAGCGCGCAGCTGACTCAGCGGCGCGGGCCGGCGTGCTCTGTCCACTCAGGCATGGCAGGCTGTGCTTCCCTCCCTCCATACAGACCGGCTGCCTGCCTGCCTGCCTGCCTTCCTCCCCGGCCAGTGCGGCCCCGCATCATTCAGTACACCCGGCGTACAAGACGACCCCCCCACTTGGAGGCATGCTTTTTGGGCCCAAAAAGTCATCTTGTACATCAGCAAATATGATAGATAAATATTAAACATCTGAGAACAAGGAAAAAACTCTTCCTGTGAATCAGAGCCTCTGGAATCAGAAACTCTCTGCATACTCTCTTCTTATCATTAAGATGTTGCTACATAACTCAAAACCAGAGGGAAGGAATCAAGCCCATGTGAAAGGCTAACCAAAAAACTAGTTCTCAGAGGTACCAGTGCAATACATTTTCGCAGCTGGCACTTCTGAAAACTTCTGAAAGCATCTCTTTTTGTTTCTGTATCAGACTCTATGGTTTTGGAATACACAATATATTGTTGGCCTTTTTTTTGGTTCCATGATAAACCAGAGATGAACATTTCAACTAATGTATGCTTGTTACTCACAATGACATCAATTGTGCAAAGCATTATTAAGTTTAACATACCTCAAAGAATTCATCATAATGCTCCTGCATTTCAACATCACTCACAGCACCTGCAAATACCAAGTCATAGTTATTAGAATGTATCCTTTGGTAATGCAAAAGTTCTTTATCACATTAAAAAATATTTTAGAGAAATATGAATAGAAGCCATCTATTGGAGTAAAAAAAGTGAAACATTTAGCTAACAATTAGGAGTAGGCCATAAGCAGTTCTGCAAGTCCTTAAAGGAAAGAAATTACAGCAGTCTCTTAGACATTTTATTCAGTAACCTAACAGCGCACTTGGGTAGAGTAAGTGGCTTAATCAGAGGAAATTGATCTGATATAGAACACAATCTCTTTGCTCCAACTATTGTGAGTTTTTAACGCAGCATCTTTTCATAACAGCTTTTGAAGAATGATTGCCAAGACTCAAATAAAGGAAGAAATAAAATATTCTGTGAATGGATTTCATTTTAAAGATACACTAAAATTTGTTTGCTGGTACAATTTAAAACTGCTATTGAACACAATTATTAAGCCATTATATTTTTCATTCTTTCAATTAGTAAAACTAAGTTTACTAATAGGTGGCAAGAGAATCATTTTTTTCTTCAAAAGCCAATTCAGTCTCTCACATTCTTCAGAGCAGTTAAAGCACGTCATGCTGTAGTATTTCCATGCCTTCAACTGGCCTTTGCAGTACTAGTCCACCTGTACTTATAAAGGCAGGTAATACATATATCTCAAACCAACAAGTATGGCAAAAACTGATATTCTATACATTTAGCACACATTAAATATTAAATGCGATCAATTTATATCCACCTGATTCTAAATGGTCTTATCAGAAGGAATAGCTTAAAACTATGTGAAACAGAGGACAAAATGTAATTTAATCTTTTAAACAAATATATTTTATAAGCAGGAATCTGAAATATTTGAAGATTGGGGAATATTTTTTTAAAAATCTGTTTCTCATACCCTTCACTGAAAAAAAATAGCAGGATCTAACTGAGCTGCTCTTTAGTCTGTACTAAAGGACACACATCAAATAAAGCACCAAATGTTGACAGACAGGCAGTGGCCTAAATCCAGGAAGTATAAATCCAAAAGATGTTTCCACCAACAGAACTCTCTCTCCTCCCTGCACCCCTAAAAACTGCTTTGGAATGTGGAGACACCCTTCAGAGCCATTCTTCAGATGGCAACAAAAATGTGCAGGGGAAAAGGGAGGGAAAAAGCAGTGCCAGGACAGTATCGGATTTAGAGCAATACATCCAGAATAGGAAACTTCTGTAAAATGCATTTTAAAAATCATTGAACTTTCTCCAATAATCTGACAAATATATGACTTAATAGGCCCTAAAAGGAAGAAAGATTGTGCACTGCCAGTATTTTTAAATGCAATTTTAATTTTTAAAGTGTTATCAATTGTTGCCATATATTACTTGCCTAAACATAATAAAATCATTTCCCTGTAAAGGATAATATTAATGAAACCAGAATAAGGGATGATGCTTTGCTAGTCTGAATGAGTACACCACCAGAAAACTATTACTAAACACAACCAATGTATGACATCAATGGGGAGTAGAATAGTTAAACAATGAAAATTTTTGCTAGCCAAACCATGCAATACTTAGAACAGCAAAAAGCTGTTGATTTGTTAAGCAAAATTATCAAATTGATATCAGATATTATACATTAAATTTGAACATTACTTTATAAGACTTACTGCTGTAATTAGGCTTGTTCAGTCAGTAATTCCGAACAAAAAAATTAACAAGTCCAAAGCAGACCATGCAACTTAATATGAATTAATTACCAAGTTGATGGAAAATTTAGCACATGCCCAGATTAAGAACACATCACTGCATATTATTTAGCAGTGAAAAGTGTAAACAGCGCTGTGAACAGCAGGCTGTGCTTAACAATAAATTCCCTAATCATTGCACTGTTTAACTGTTTCACGAGCAAATCACAGATTAGCTCATTTACCCTTGAAAGTCACTTACTTCTACTGATGTACAGTAGACATGTAGATTTTTCACATATCATAACTACACAAGTGTTAAGAATTAGTTCAAGACAATCTCCACACTTTTCCATAAACAACTATCCGTTCACAATTTCAGGTTTTAAAGCAAGGAAGCAATTTTAAGTGTACCTATGCAAAGAGATCAAATTAAAGTGATTTAAACATCTACAAATGGAAAGATGTTTCAGTTACATTAATATGATGATCTAATTTTTAGATTACAGTAATGTGTTGCATTAAACATATCAAGAACACATTGAAATGGTGGAGACCAGTGGTAAGGATGGGGCAGAGACAGCCGTCTCAAGGATGCTGTTAAAAGTGTTCCTTTTAAAAAACATAAAATGGGCAGGTAGCCAAAGTTTCAAAATTTCTTGGGGGCATGGGTTATGAAAAGGACAAAAAATTTTCAGGCACATTTCATAAAATGTGGTCTGTTTGCTCCATTAAACTAAAAATGGTAGACCAGCTTCAGTTGACACTGAGCTCTGACAATCAAGCCCAGGGAACCAGTGAAGGAACTTGTATGAACTTACAGCGCAAACCGTCAGCAGACTGGGAAGAGTTTTGAGGGTTACGATAAATGTTCAAGAGGGCAATGGTCTGAAATACAAAACGCAACAACTTTATATTATGGAAAATAAGTTTAACAAGAAACTGGTTTCCTTGTGGTGATCACTTTTAGTTGAGTCTCAGTGCTGAAAGAGAGAATGTTATATTTTCTCCCATGAGGGAAATATGTGCTATTTAGCTTCTCTGAACCATCTAAGGTTAAAAAATAGAGATCTCACAACACCTATTATTGCATTTATTTAAAATGCAGCAACTGTTGTTTGAGCATCACAGGCTTTGCATCTAAAACTATTAAAATCCTTACTATGTGGAAAGGTTAAAAATTGTCAGGAACTAGATTCTATTATAACACACAATAATAAGGCTGTCATGAAATCTCTATTGCCTAAGTTTGTTAAGTTCAAACAAAATCTAAGTTTCACTTACCGTATATAGTAAAAATGCCCATGTTTTCAGATAAAAAAAATCAAGGTATTTGATAAATGCCTAATGCATGTATCTGTAGCATAAAGCAGTGTTCCTGTACTCACATATAAGGTTCTAATTTATTTTAAAAAATCCAACAGCTTTTTCTTATTAAACCACTATTCTTTTAACACATAGGCATTTAGCAAATTCTTGATCATTATTATAAGAGATCCATCACTTGTCCTGTTTGCAACAGCTTTATGTCAGCAGCTCAGAAGCCAACATGATTTTCTCATATTTAGGAATGGCTTCTTAACACCATCCTAAAAAAAAAAATTTCTCCAACTGTGGGACTTACAGTGTGAGCCGTCAGCCGTCTGTGCACTGTTTTGGGGATTACGATAGATGTTTTGAATCAAGATGGTCTGCGGGGAAAAAAAAATAAAAAGGGGAATTCTACTGGCTGCTGTGCATATAATAGACAATTGCAAAGAGACAACTTTTTGCGAACAGTTTAATATAAAATCTATTCAAATCATATGTTTGGGTTTGTTTGGTACAGTTTAATATAAAATCTATTCAAATCATGTTTGGGTTTGTTTGGTTTTTTGTGTATTTGCAACATGCTTTTGAAACACAATTCAAACATTCATATTACCGAAACAGTTATTAATTTCACCATGGAGCTGCCGAATTCGCTTAGGTATCCTCAGCCCAGGTCCTAGAGTAGAATCAGTCATACAATTTCTTTGTAACTGGTTATATACATAGTAGATTTTCATCTAATTTTATCCCTATTCAGTACAGACAGCCATAAAAAAATCCTGCACAGTGCCCATGACATGAAGTGCACCTCTATCAAAAGGCTACTGTCACAAGAAGTCTCCACTTTCTCTTATCAAATGTTTTCTTGGTGGAACTTCTGTTTCAATAATATGAGTTTCTACATGTTCGCTTTTTGCAGATGTTTAAGAAAAGAATATCCTTTCAGGCTTTGTGCTTTCTACTTGAAGAATTGGCCAGGCAGACTTGAAACCTTACATTTGTATCGTTCTTCTTAATATCAAGTTGTCTGAAAAAACAAACCATGTTTAAGTTAGTAATCTAACATCTCAGAATCTTAATGTCCATATTAGTGTAAGCAGCTCAATGTTACTTAATTAAAAATGTTAGTTTGCATCAGCTTTCATTCAAACTGAATAACATTTACTGCATTTTTTAAAATGCTGTTTTCAGAACTTATCTTTATATATAGAAAACCAGCCAGTGCTAACCCCTGGTTCCTAGTCACAGTAAAGAAAACGAGAAGCACATCTGTATTTGTTTACCTAAATTATTTCAAATTCATAATGCAACAGAATCTTATGTTCATTGTGGGGTTTTTTGAAACTGGCAAGAGCCTGAAACCTTGTCTTTTAAACCACAGTTTAGTAAAGCAATTTCCTAGGTGGGCATAAAAAGGTGGCAAATATCTCCAATCCTTCATCAGAAGTGGTGACTGCAGGAAGGGGGGACATCTGCCATTTATGCTGGGAATAAGTAGAAGTATACTATTTGATCTTATTCCTGGTTGCTACTGATGTATTTTTTAATGTTCTTTCAGCACATGCATACAAATAAGTGTGTACAATATAATGGAAAGGTATGAATATCAGAATCTTGCTTAAACTGCAAGCTACAGAAGGTGTACACCCACATCTATCAAATTTCAGCAATCCTTACAAACAGCTGGAAAATGCAAGTTAAAGCGTGTCATGTATAATCCAAAGACATCCTGAATTCCCACCCATATAATCTTATTCAGTCTTCACTACCTATACTGAGGATCTTAGTAATACAATGGTGCCTTGCTTAACGAGCGCCTCGCTGAGCGATGAAATCGCTTAAAGAGGCGCTCTGGGCCATCGCTGGAGCATTCGCTCAGCGATGGCCCCTATGGGGATTTTTCGCTTTGCGATATTCGCTAAGCGATTCGCTTAGTGAATATTGCATAATGAAGCGGGGGAGAACAGCTGATCGACGGTTCCAAAATGGCCACCAGAAGGTCCGCGCTGCATTTTCGCGCCCTGCCCTCGCTTACCGAGGGCGTGAAAATGGCGGCGCTATGGCAGAACCTCGCTTAACGGTGAGTTTTCAAGCCATAGGAATGCATCGAACGAAGTTCAATGCGTTTCTATGGCTTTTTTTATTCCGTTTAGCGATGTTTCGCTATAGCGAAGGTTAATCCGGAACGGATTAACCTCGCTATGCGAGGCACCACTGTACTACGAGGATCTTAATACTAAGATATTACCATAAACTACATGCAACAGCAAGTATATTCTTTAGAAAATTCTGTAGTCACAAATGCTAGAAAACCTTGCTGTAAAAAATAATTTACTCCAGCATTCCTATCAAAATGCTCAATTAAATACAAATATGAAATATGTGAACTTAATATGAAACAAGTACCCAGGACAGGAGATGCTAGCACCATTAAATCAAAACTATAGTATTTTACTGATGGTTCATCAACATGAAAAATGTTGGGCAAATACACAAAAATGAAAATGTGATACATTAAAACTTTATTTATTTATTTGATTTATACCCCGCCTATCTGGGCGACTCATCCACTCTAGGCGGCTAAACTTGCATAAACCACTGCCTCCCAGACTAACTGATGTGGTAAACCAGCAATTTTTTTCCAGCATGCCAGGGACCAGTGTAAGATTGCCAGTTTGGGAGGTATTAAAAAAACATGGATTGTAATTGGGAGAGCAAGATGTTAGAAGAAGAATTCAACTCCCATGGTGGCTGTCAGGTTAATTTTAAATTGCAAACAAGTAAGAAATACTTGGCATGTGACATGTAACCCAAGGAGGCAATGGGAGGGATATCGGCTGATCTGGTAGGTGTCCATGTCACCGGACAGTAAGTTGCTGCCACCCATGCAGATGACAGGATCACACCCAAATGCTCTCTCCACTGCTGAGTCCACTCAACGGTACACACGAGAGCTCTGGGCAATGAAACAATATAGAAGTCTAGAGAGCATTGGGAGGTGGGGCCCAATGGAAATTAGACTAACATCCAAACTGTGTTTAGGGCCTACCTAACAGCTGTAAAAGCAACCAGATCATATTACTCCTCATGGATAAATGAGGCCCAGAACCATCTGGTGTAACTATTGCATATATAGTATATGATTTATCTGTGACTGGTCAAAGTGACAAGCCTCCCAATAACGTCACCTGTGGCCAGTTTGCGGCATTCTTTAATAACAAAATTGAGGCTATCCAATGGGACCTGGACCACCACATTGCTGCAATAGCTGTGACTGAGACATCCACTGCACCAGCTTGTCCAATTCTGTTAAATCAGTTTCAGTCTGTGTCTTCAGCTGAGGTTGACAGGATGCTTGGTCGCTGTAGGGCAACTGCAACCTTCCTAGATCCTGGCCCAGTCTGGCTTTTAAAAGCTACCAGACCAATAACTGAAGAATTAGCCATTGCAATTATTAATGCATCTCTCCAGGAGGGCCACATTCCTCAGACCCTTAAGGAGATGCTTATTAGGCCCATTTGGTGAAAAACTAGTTTGGCGATGAACAATTGCAACAACTATAGCTCCATCACCAACATACCATTCTTGAGCAAGCTAATGGAGAGGGTTCTTGCCACTTCAGGCACTCTTGGATGACGTCAATGCCTTTGCCCCATCAGTCTTGGTTCAGGCCATAGTATTGGACACTGTATTGGTCACCCTAGATAATCTTCTGAGGGAGGCTGACCAGGGCAAGGTGTTCCTATTGGTCCGCCCTGATCTCTCAGCAGCCTTTGATACTGTTGACCACAGTATCTTACTGGAGAGGCTCTCTGGATTGGGGATCAAGGTCTGGTCTTGTGCTGACTCTGATCTTTTCTTGAGGACTATCCCCAGAAAGTACAGCTTGGGCAGATGCTCTTTGCCCCTTGGACCCTAAATTGTGGGGTCCCACAGGGATCAATCATCTCCCCTCTGCTATTTAATATCTACATGAGACCACTGCGGGAGGTCATCCAGAGATCTTAAGTTTCACATGATCAGTATGCAGATGACACCCAACTTATCTTTCATTCCAACCCTCTGCAGTAAATGCTATCCTATCTCTTAAGCACTGTCTGTCTGTGGTGCTGAAGTGGACGGGAACCAAAAGACTGAAACTAAACCCAGACAAGTCAGAGGTCCTCTGGGTGGGGCCTCCTGCTGTTTGCAGATTGGGAGCCCCCCTTAATTGGGGGTACACTCTCTCCACTAAAGATTAAGGTCACAGCTTGGTCGTTCTTCTGGACCCAGTGCTGCAGATAGATGCTCAGATAGTATCTGTGGTCCGGTCAGCCAACTTCTAATTTAGACATAGTACAGCTCCATTCCTACCTTGACAGCATGCCCCTACGGTGTTGGTCCATGCCTTGGTAGTACCAAGGACTGGCTACTGTAATGTCCGCTATGTGGGGCTGCCCTTGAGATTGATCCAGAAAATTCAACAGGTCCAGAATATGGGAGCCAGACTAGTCAGGGGAATTAATATATACCAACGTATTTCCTCAACACTGCCCACCTTGTACTGGTTACCAGTCTGTTTCTGTATCAGGTTCTTGATTCTGACCTATCAAGTCCTAAATGGTTTGAGACCTCAATACATGACAGAAAGCCTCCTACCAAGAGGGACTGCCTGTCCTACCTGTCTGTCCTACCCATGCATTTGAGTTGGGCAACTGAGGATGTTGACCTCAAGGGAGATCTGAAACGGAAAAAACAAGGAACCAGGCCTTCTCATCAGTTGCGCCTATGTTTTGGAATGAACTGGTGCCTGGGATTCACCTCCTTGAAGAGTTTTAAGAAGTCTCCAAAACTTTCTTATTCTCACAGGGTTCCTAAATCATGCCACGCCTAACAGCTCCATTTGAATGTATGTTTAACATCTACAATCACTTGACCAATTTTAATTTTTAAATTCACTTCCATTTGTTGTTTAATTTAAACTGTGTATTCTACAGCTGTTTTAGTGTTGTCCACCACTGAAAGTGAACGCCAGTCAGATGGGCAGTTTAGAAGTAACCATCATCATCATTAAACTTGCATGTGAAATGATGGCTGAGATTGACATATTTCTGACCAGGGTATAAAAACCTGTGATTTTTGGTGGAGGGTGCTTTTAAGACTGATTATTTTAAAGAATTTTTTTTCTGACAGCACCAGTCTGTGGACCACCATTTCAAGAAACACTGCTTAACAGTACAGTATTCCAGCCTGCTCCTCTGTGCACCCTTAGAAGAAAACTTTCAATGCATGATACATGTAGCTACCTTTCAAAATGATCCAGAAACTTCAGCAGACAAAAAAATCTAGGCAGAAAGACTGTTATCAAGCGCTGGCTGATACATTCATGTTGTACAAGTCCTTTTGTATTTACTCTGGTTTCCAACCCCAATTCAAAGTCCTAGTATTAAACTATAAAACTCTAAACGGTTTGGAGACAAATTACTTGAAGGATCATTTCCTCCTCCAGACCAAAATACCATCTTCTGAGGCCCCTCTCTGTGTCACTGTGCCAAATGAGAGCTGGTGAATAGCTACCGTATTAGGGAGAAGGCCATTTTGTTCTGGCACCTTTGTTATAAAAACTATTTAAAGTCCTACCAGGTAAGAACCTCTTTATTGTCTTAGGCTTTGCAAACCTACTTTTTGTTTTTCAGTCCTGTACTCATACTTTCCTCCCATGTGGAAGGGGTTTTTAAAAGAAGGGGGGTGGAAAAATCTATCCCCTTTATCTCTAAGTAGAGCTTAGATACTGGTGGCTCCCCACTATTTTTTTCTGCTCCCACCCTGATAGCACTGCTCTGCCTGATGGTTTGGGTCTCCTGCACATAACACATAATTTGTGTTTTGATTACTTTAGTATTTAGGTATTTGTAAGCAGGTAAGTAGGTTGGTGAAAAAGCTTGTATGCTTTCAAAAGTGTTAATTTTTTATTTATTAAAATGATACAAAATATTCTATACCCTGTTTCCCCGAAAATAAGACCTAACCTGAAAATAAGCCCTAGTCTGATTTTTCAGGATGCTCGTACTATAAGCCCCAGTTAAATGAAATCCCGCCTCCACCAGAAGAAGACATTACTGCATTTGAATAAATGTAATTGTTGTACGTGAAAAGAATTAATCATCCCCTGAAAATAAGTCCTTATGTGTTTTTTGGAGCAAAAATTAATAAAAGACTCTGTCTTACTTTTGGGGAAACACAGTAGCAAAATCTGGGCAGTATCAGAAACAAAATTAGCAACTGTCACAACCAGTTCGTATTTAAACAAACTAGCATACATGTATTACTTCCATTTTAGTATCACTAGTATGATTAAATAATATCACTAATAAGTACAGTACAAGCACCCACTCAATAGGGTCAAGTAGTTATTCCACACAAGCCACATTTTAAGCAATGTAAAGTAGCTGAGACTACCCAATTTTAAATGCCAGTTTTTATTATAAGTGTAGAAATGTGATGTTGTCATTTACTAAAACTGCTTTACTCAGGCAAAAGATTAAAGGAGACTTCAGTCAAATTTGAAAGCTGATGTATTTGATCAATTTAAACATTTCAATATTTACTATGCCAAGCATTACCTTGAAGGTTACCACTGGCTGACATCTAATTAGCAAATGCACAAAAACATTTTCTATAATCATTATAGATTAAAAGGAACCATTAAAACAACTTGTGGGAAAAATTAAAAGGCAAATGACATATCTAGAAATCAAACAAACAGGCAGAGCTCTGAAAGTCAGGGTCATCTGGGAAGATGTTTGCAAAATTCCTGCAACTAGAGAAATAACACAAACCTGGCTAAATGTTGGTTTATTGTGCAATCGAGAACACCGATCTCCATGACGACATGCTCCAATTTTGAAATAAAAAGAACAGTTGACTCTGGGGAGAAAATGACACAAAATCAAGAAAAATCTAAGCAAGAATGCAAAGCATTTGGCTACACAGTCAAAGCTAAACAAATTAATCAGTATTGTGGCTGTTGTAAGAAGGGAATGTATTCAAACTCAGACACATTCTGTAACTCATGCTATTATCTCATACTTCTCAAATACAAGGCTCCCATCCCAACCCCATTTCAGTCTAAATTATGTTCTGCTAATTTGTTGAAGTAATGTAGTTAGTGACAGTAGCCTCCAGTGAAACTAATCAACTGGAAAAAAGGGTATTTCAAGATCAACTTACTTTCCCTTTTAAAAAACCCAGAGGATTATACAAATGACTTTATGAACTAGAGCTGTGTACGTAATACACAAAATCTACTGGGTAAAATCCTGCTACTTAGCATTGTAAGTTGTAATTCGGGCTCACTGAATCAATGTGGATTTGGCAAGTCAGTGGGCCTACTCTAGTTGCAATTGACTACATTAAGCAACAGGAGCTTAGCCATTATGTTTTAAGCTGGAATTTTAAATACAGTGGTGCCTCGCTTAACGGGCACTCCACTTAGCGACGAAACCGCATAGCGATTAACTTTTTGCGATCGCAAAAGCGATTGCATTGCGATGTTTCCTATGAGGTTTTATCGCTTTGCGATGATCGGTTCCCTGTTTCACTTACCGATCTTCGCAAAGCAATGATTTTTTAACAGCTGATCGGCGGTTCCAAAATGGCCGCCGGGTTAAAAAAAATGATCACCCGCTGTGTTTTTGCGCGGATTCCTTGCTTTAGAGGCAGCGAAAATGGCCACCATATGGAGGATCTTCGCTTTAAGGAGAGTTTTTTGCCCATAGGAATGCATTAAACAGGTTTTAATGCATTTCTATGGGCTTTTTAAAATCGCATAGCGATGAAATCGCTTAGCAGCGATTTTTGCTGCACGGCTTAACGTCGCTATGCGAGGCACCACTGTACTGTAGTTTGATTCTAGGTACAGTGGAATCTCGACTTACGAATGGCTCCACTTACATACTTCTCCATGTACGTACTTCTCGGACCACAAAGTTTTACTTTGACTTGCAGCTGCAGAATCGGCCTACGGACCAGAAGAGGGAGGTGAGAAAAGCACCAAATTCAAATTTGGTGCTTTCCCCGCCTCCCCCTTCCAGTCTGTAGGCCGTGGATATGCCTCCAGATGCCTTCCAGGGCTTCTCCGCCGCCATGGGAGGCATCTCGGAGGTCCACCACCATTACCCGCCCTTTCTCCCTGCCTTTTTGCCTTCCGAGCTCTCAAAGGGCTTCCTCCGATGTCAGGGGGAAAGCCGTTTGAGACCTCTGAAGGCTCTCAGCAGCGGTGGCAGGGGGGATTTCGGATGCCTTCCAGGTGGAGTTCCCCCTCCCCCCGCCACCACTGCTGGGAGCCAAGCCGCGCTGGGCGATCCCGGAGGAGCTCCGAGAGGTCTCTGGCAGCGGCGCCAAAGCCCTTGGAGTCCTCCTGCAGTGGGGATGATGGCAGCGGGAGACCCTTGAAAAGGTATGTTTACATTTTTTTACATTTATTTTAATTTTGTGTGTGCGTGGGGGGTGTTTCTTGGGGGGTTACAAATTAATTGGTTTTCAATGCATTCCTATGGGGAATGCATTTTCGAACTGCGGACTTTTCGACCTAAGGACCCCGTTCCAATATGGATTAATTCTGTAGGTCGAGACCCCACTGTATATTTGCTCAGATTCCCACTGTGTTACAGTGGACCCTCTATTTATGGAATTAATCCCTATTGAAACGGTGGCTGCAGGTCGAAAAGTCTGTAGGTCGAGTCTCCATTGACTTACAATGCATTGAAAACCAATTAATCCGTAACCGGCCATTTTTGTTCCATTTTGGTTTTTTTTCCTAGTCTGTAGGTTGATTCTCCAGCTGCAAGTTGAACCTAAGTTTTGCGGCCAGAGAAGTCTGTAACTCGAAAAGTCTGTAAGTCGAGCCATCTGTAAGTCGAGGGTCCACTGTATAGTTCCAAGTAACCACACATATTATAGAATTCCTTTTACCTGTGTTACAAACTGAAACGTTCAATAACAGTAGCCTTATTACAGAATGCCTACAAGGTACAAAACGAAGGCAGGCACCATCTTTTTGGAGTAATGGAATACTATGAAATGCATTGGCATCTACAACAGTATCTGTATTGTAAAATTGCAACTGAAAACTGTGCCATGCTAATTTTCTGAAGTCTATATAATCATCCCCTGCTGTTATTTGCTGTCAAGTTGCATCCAACTTCTGTCAACCCTGATAGGTGTTTCAAGGTAGGTAAGATATTTAAAGACTGATTTTACCAGTGCCATCTCCCTGAATTTCCATGGTTAAGCACAGAAATTTCAACCTAGGTTTCCTTAATCTTAATCCATCACTGTAACCACTCCATCAGACTGGCTCTCATGTCAGCAAGGCCAATAGGCAAGTCAAATGAGGCAATATCAAAGGAATACAGATAGATAGCAGCAGCAATACATTGCAGTTGTTGTGATGTTTTGGGATACTAAAGAATAATCAACAATCATTCCTTGTCTTAAGGCTATTTTTATCAGAGTATATAAGATTGCTTTTCATAAACTCCAACAAACAAAAGTTGGGAGTTTGGATGTTAATACCATTTGTTGCTTGGAAAACTTTGGCCTAAATCTATTAGTTAATCCCAACAATCAGATTCGCTGAATGAATGGGACTTTTTACATCAATACTAAGCTTAGGTCCAATAACTGACTGGGTTTATAGGCTCATCTAATGAGGTAATTTTCAACAAAGAAATGATCTGTGTACTCATTGTGACACATGAAGCCTAAAGCATTCAAGAATGAGCCTTCTTCATTATTACAGTTACTGTATGCTATTTAATAACTACATAACTGAAATCTAATAGGTGGGTAACTGCTAGATGCAGATGTAACACTAGCAGCATGACATTGCTATGACCAGACCATATACACAAGGCATATATAACATGACAACTTTGTAGTAAGCATAGTGTTTACTTTTGGAAGAGGTAGCTGTGTCAGTCTCTGCTGGCATATTAAGCAAAAATGAGATAAAAAACAGACATAAACGTTGTAGCATCTTAAATACTAACTGTTGTATTTTAATATGAGCTTTCGTCAAACAGTCCATTTCCTCAAACACTTCCTGAGTTCACATTAAAATATAGCAGTTAGTCTTTCAGATGCCACAGCATTTTTGTTCTTTATTTTTCATTTGGTTTTGCCCGATATGTTTAATGCATATTCTAGTAAACCCTCAGTTTATTAGCATAGAAGGAACAAGAACCAAGAAAGAAATGTCTATTGTCCTTTTACACAACCACTCTTTGCCAACAGCAACTGTGTTTTATGTCCTTCTTTCTGAATTTAGCTACCACTGCTGGGGAAATGAAATGGAAAAAGATAGTGGCATTGGTTTCTTTGAAAGAGAACTGTGTGAAATAGACAGGTAGACAGGTAATAGGAGTAGGAAGGAGACCATGATGGAATAATTCCAGATGACTACTGGGGTTCTAAATTGCTGCAAGTCACACAAAAAATCTTATACATGTGAGAAAAACCTCAGTACGAGACACAAGTTTTGTCCTTTTCTGCACAAGCATGCAGAAATTCATAGTCTCAGTGCTGCTTGAATGTGGACAATACTGCCAAAAATCTCAAGATTACTCAGAGGATGAGTGTGACGGATGGTTGAGGAAAAAGCTGGTTTTCAGTGCTTTAGTGTTCTTGTAAGTGGAGATGGGGGCCAAACGTTCCCATGCAAAAAACAGGAAAACCCCTCAACAGGATTTTCATAATAGTTGCCATTCTACCAGTCATTTTTAAGGAAGTGTAGAGTACCTGGTTAATGTGCCTTACATGCCTTCAATGAGACAGAAAAACAGTATGTATGTTTGCTGAGTGAATAATATTTGTTTTACTTGTTAATTCTAAACCACCCCATAACTGAGGTTTTGGTGGCTATAAAGTTAAAATGACATGAAAGCAGCAAACATTTAAAAAGAAAAATTAAAACAATACAAATACAACCTAGAAATAAAAAACAGTTCTCAAAATGTTAAAAAGCTAAAACTGCAGAATTCACGAGAGACACTTGGGCCTGATTAAAGCGGGGGGAGGGGGGAGAGAGACTTTTGATTCGAAAATAAAGCCTTCGCTGTGAATACCCAGCAGGCACCAAGGGAGCCTCTCGAATCCCACCTACACTACTTTTAAACGCTTCAGAGGTGACCAGAAGCAGATTCTAGATTTTGAACGCCTGAGACTAGGCCTGTAAATTAACAATTCTGCCACACGGATGCTTTATCGCCCCCTTTCCCCCTGGTTGCAGTTCTTCAGGAGGAGAACCGAGACACAGAAGGGGCGGCTAAACCCGTCGGGGGGGGGGGTCGCCTCGCTTTCCCTCCGAAGGCTCCCCGGGTTGCGCGCGGGTTCCCAGGGCGGCAAAGCCGAGATGGGGAAACTCCACGCCGTCCCTCCAGCCCGCCATCTGCGCTTCGTCTTCTGAAAGGGAACTCCCGCGCTCGCCCTTTCCCCTCCCCTCCCCCGCTGCCGCCCGACTCGTGAAAGAAGATGGAGGAAGGGCGGGCGCGAGCGAGCGAGCAGGCGCGCGCTCCAGCAAACTTCTATCGGAAACGCTTCTCAGGCTTCCACGAGGCAGCGGCCCCCCGTCGGCAACGGAAGGAGACCCAGAGGCTTTCGCGCGCTTGAGCCTTCTACGGCCGGGAAAGCGCGCACGCGCAAAAGCGAGGGACAGAGGGGAAGAAAGAAGAACAGAGCCTCCTCGTGGGAAGCCATTGCTACGCATGGCCCCGCCAAAGTGTTGGCCCAAGCCCCCGCCCCCTCCCCGTCGCCAATAGACAGCAGGCGTTGACGCAGAGCCAAGCCGGCCCTCGAAGCCCGGAGAAAGAACCCACTCACTTGTCTTTTTCGGTACCGAAGATGGAGGCCAGATACTCCGCCATCTCTTACAACCTGCCCTGCCCGGCCGTCCGCCGGACACCTCGGCCCCTACCTAAGACGTCATTAGGCGGCGACGGAAATGCCCGCCGCCCTACTCCCACTCAAACGAGCGAAGGCGGGGACAGCGACCAATCAATGCCAAAAAGGCAGGGCTACGATAGAATGGCTCCGCGCATGCGCCTGGTGGAGCAGGTTGTGCCGTGTTTCCAGTCAGTCGCAGTTCACGCACTCACCCGTTTCTTTCTGGTTACGCCCACTTAGTGACTAGGTGGGAAAGCGTTTGGTTATTTTTAATACTGTACAGTAGTTTTTAGGGCAAGATTTCCCCTGCTGAAATATCCTCTCTCATTCAACTGTTAGAAGTATAGGAGCCCCGCCCTGTGTTTCCTCTGATCATCCCTAATTCTACCTGTGTAAAGTACTTTTTTCAAATAAACGTCTGTTGGCTTTATTAAGACTTATACTTTTTTTTAGCATAACGTGTGTGTTACCATTTAGTTTTCCAGAATTGGATGTTTCTTATTTGAAAAAACCGCTTACCCTACCTTCGTTGCCTAATATTCATTCCTAACCTGTTAAGTGGTTCCCGTTACAAAATCCAAAGAAATGAAACAAGACAAAAACATGTGGGACCTTGAAGACTAGCATATTTTAATATGAGCTTTCGTAACATATATCCAAGAGATAATCAATAGTATGATACTGATATTTGGTTGTTGTGGGTTTTTCTGGCTCTTTGGCTGTGTTCTGAAGGTTGTTCTTCCTATCATTTCGCCAGTCTCTGTGGCTGGCATCTTCAAAGGACTGGAGTAGGAACTCTGTTCATGCTCTGAAGATGACAGCCACAGAGACTGGTGAAACGTTAGGAAGAACAACCTTCCGAATAGGGCCAAAGAGCCCGAAAAACCCACAACAACCATTAGACACCAGCCAAGAAAGCCTTTGCGAATACATTAAACTGATATTTTATTCAACATTTAATTCTGTTTCCATATGTATGACACAGTGGACATGTCCGCAAAAGTTGACATTAAAATATGTTAGTCTTTAAGGTGCCACATGTGTTTGTCTTTTTTAATTTGTTCCTTTGGATTTTTCCTGATATGCTTGCACAAATGGCTACCTCTTCCCAAATGACAATTCTGTTACAGAAGAAATAGATCCTTTCCCTGTTCTTGCAGCAGCAGCAGTCTTCCTTCTATTTGGATGCAGTTTCGGCATTCCTGTTCTAAAGACATGAAATAAATAATCACAGGATTCGTTGGGTTAGTGCATTTCAAGGTTCAGAGGATGGCAATGGATTTCTCAGGATGAAGACAGGCCAGCGACCAGGTGTGTGTGTGTACTAGCAGAGGTGAGTTGTAGATGGATGGATGGGAGCTTGTAGTATGGAAGGCAATCTTGACGAGAAGTCTATAAGGCAAGTTGGTATAACTGTCTTCAGACTGAAATAAAAGGGAGCCGTGTGGTCAATATAAAATACAAATGCAAGAGCAGGTAATAACTTTGTAGGCCAAATCTGCTAGCTTTCATGGATCAGGACCATCCAAACCTGAGTAAGCGGATGATCATGATTCACAAAAGTTTGCCGATTGTATGATGATTTTTAGTGGTCTATAAAGGTACAGTGGTGCCTCGACCTACGAACTTAATCCATCCCAGAAGATGTTCGTAAGTCGAAAAGTTTGTAAGTTGAATCAGCATTTCCTATAGGAATGCATTGAAAACTGATTAATCTGTTCCGTCTGTTTTCTGTATGTGGAGGCGCCGTTTGTAAGTTGAAGCATTAGTTCCCAAAGGAACTAATGCAAAACCAGTTAATCTGTCGTCTACCACTAGGGGGAGAATTTTTTTTTAACCTAAGATGACTTAGGTTTTAAAAAGGCAGGAAAGGAGGGAGGGAATGAACACCTTTTAAACAAAACACCTTTAAAACCAAGCAGCTTTAAACCAAACCAAGCACCTTTTAAACCAATTTTTACATTTTAAAATTACAGTACCAGGCAGTCCAAAGTCCATTTCCTGCTTTCACCGTGTTTTTTGTTCGTAAGTCGAAGCTCCATTTGCAAGTTGAAGCAAAATTTTGCGAGCGGAGCTGTTTGTAAGTCGAAATGTTCATATGTAGGGGCTTTTGTAAGTCGAGGCACCACTGTATTGCCTACTCTTCCATTTGTCTTTAGATTGAATACAGAAGGATGAGACCTAAATCAGAGAGTAGTTGAAAGGAAAATATAAAGACGGCAAGCTTGGGCCTGATATCCAGTGTGGTATCATGGATGGAGTGGTGGACTATGACTCAAGAGGCCTGGAATTGAATCACTGCTCACTCAGTATGTCTGAGAAAGTGGACTTGTCTGCGAAAGACCAACTGTTCACATTAAAATATAGCAGTTGGTCTTTAAGGTGCCACAATGCTTTTGTGTTCTTTATTTTTTACTTCTTTTTGCCTGTTACATTCAGCCATGGAAATTCAAAGGAGGTGTGGAACTGGTGAAATCGCTCTCTAAATATTTTGCTTACCTTGATAGCCCTATTAGGTTTGCTATAAGTTAATTCTCAGTCTCATTTGTTAGTTTGTTATTACAGTAAGTGCAAGTTTTTAAGTATTTCAGTTCAATTCAAGAAGTTAATTTCAGATTTGAGAAGTGATCAGGAATCCACAGTTTGGCTTTTCATCTTGAAAATTTTGGGAAATTAAACTCTTAGGTTAATAGTATTTGCAAATTTCACATGAGAATAGTTGCTAGAGAGAATAGAAGTAAAACGAAATAATGAAAATAGCAGTTGCATTGTATGAAGAAAACAGGCAGTGGCTGAGGGGAAAGTGTTACAACACCAGAAGGACTGGTTCTTTGCAAAGAATGCCATTCTTTTGTTTCTTTTTTCTTTTTTTTTAGAATTGGTGTTAGTGCTGTTCCACTGGGACATCTAGGCACCAAGACAAAGAGAGATAAAGAGAATGAGAGGAGGAAATGGCCACTTGGCCCTTGTTTACAGCTTATTAAGGTCATTCTTCTGTAGCCATGCCTCCTGCAAATCACGTGGGCAACAAGAAAGCTATGTCAACAAGCTGCAAACAAGGTTGTTTGCCAGTTTCTTCCTCTGTGTAGCCAGTTAACACAAATTTACTGTGGGAAACCAACGTCCTAGGTGCAACGCCACAGCAGGTCAGTTTCCATTTTTGTGTAGTCACATTCTTAGATCTAGAGCTCATGTTCTCGTTTTCTTCTGCCACTCAGTCACAAAAAAACTGTTACAGTACTAAGAAAAGTAGGAAATCAGCTAAACAACTTCAGTGATAGCAAATAATCTCACAGACAAGTTAGTTTGCCAGTTTCTCAAGAGGATTCCAAAAGCCACTGCTGCTAAGAAAGCTCTTTCCACTTCTGTTGTCCAATAACAGGCATGACTTTTAAAGGCATTCTTGACAGTTGTTATTTTCCACATGCTAGATGTTAATGTTAGTTACAGGCACTCTGCCTACTACCCTTTCCTCTGCTGTTCAAAGAAGCATTTGACTCTGCTCTTATGCTGATTTGTAGTTTTTATCATTTGTGTTTTTCCTGCTGCTTTTAGTTTGTTACTGTGTTTCAGTAATTAGTTACTGTATTTTATATGATTATATTGAAAAACAAGGATTAAGAAATTAAATAATATTGTACAAGAAAGAAGGAAAACTAAGATATTCAAAGCCACAGCTTTTCCTATGTACCAAAATTTAAAAGTTTGTATAAGTGAGGGAGGGAGTTATATGTAATTGAATATTTGGTGCACAATATTTTTCAGCCAATATCTCTTTTAGAAATTCATGCCATGTTAGGCATATATGTGTCTGATTTTAAAAAGTGCAATTAAATTAAGTGGGAGTTGCTACCAATTAAGTGTATAAAATTTCTAAATATTCTAAGTAGGAAGCATGGCTAGTGGTGGTGGGGAACTATAATGTGCAAAGTACTGGTAACATTTTGTTTGATGTTCCATTTGCTTGAATATTGCTCCCTCCAGTGGTAAAAATAAAAAACATATTCTGAAGTCCATTTGGATAGAATGAGAAGTCAGGGAGCAAAACAGGAAATTGTTTTGTTTGTATTTGAATCTGGATTTTTGATGCATGGAAACCCCTCACCTTTCCATCTCTGCGGATCCATGCCCAAACCAACAGATAGTAGCAAATTGTTGTTGTGGGTTTTTCGGGCTTCTTGGCCGTGTTCTGAAAGTGGTTCTTCCTAATGTTTCGCCAGTCTCTGTGGCTGGCATCTTCAGAGGACAGCAAACTGTGCTCAGATAGTAGCAAATCCTAAATAGAACATACAGGAGTCATTCAAGGGGATGGAACAAAAGCTTGTGCCCTTGTATGAATCCTGTATGATTATTCCTGCTTATGAGACAAAAAACTCTATCTGTCTCATATTAGAAGATGAAGTAGATAGTCTCCTTAAACATCTTAAATTTCCTGTAGTTGAACTTATGAAAACAGAATTAGCAGATATGGGTGTGTGTATGTGTGCTCCTATGGTGAACTGAGTAAAAAATGCAAACAAGAATTTTTGCTTTAAGACATTGACATGTATCCATCATGGAACGTGACTGAGAAAATTATAGGCATGTTTTCCCATTGGGATACTTTCTTTCATGAACAAAAAGTTATCTAACATTTTTGTATTCTCTCTTTAAGATAGATAGTACAAAACCCAGGCAGTTAGCAATGTTTCCGTTGGGAAAAAAGAAATTCAAAAGCATAATATCTAGTACTAACATCTAGTAACAAGGTGAGCAAGAGAGGAGCTAGATCAGTGACAGTGAACCTTTTTGGGCCCAAGTGCCCAAATTGGAAAAAAAAAACCTCAGTGGGCGGCAGCAGCAGAAGTACACGGAGGTGCCTGGAGACCCCACTCTGGATCTGCTACCAGCACCAGCTGCCCCGGATCCTGGCCTGCCGCCTGTCAGAGCGCCAGCACCGTGGCTGCAGCCGCCTTCTCAGATTTGGCTGTGTGTGAGGGAGTAGTGATCTGGCAACTTACAGCTCATGTGCCCACAGAGAGGGCTCTGTATGCCAGCTGTGGCACGCGTGCCATAGGTTCGCCATCACTGCCCTAGATCTTTCATTCAGTATTCTCATCC